AATTGAAGGAAGTTATCCTCTCAATCTCTTCAACTCTTCTTTAATTCGCCAGTTAGTGAGTATATAAGTGAACCTTATCCAACAAATCCTTCTATATTCTCAATGATCGAAATAATCCTATTCGTTATTGTCCCCTAATCCTCTACATCCGCGATGCCCTTATTAATTCCACTGTAATCATTATCCATTTAACCCTCAAATTATCAAAAAATCGGTTAGGCAAAAAATCGGTTAGGTTTTGTGTTTTTCGAAATTGTTACTTGCGCTCGCCCCTGCTCACAATATCCATTTTAATGCCTGAATTCACTGATATCCCTTTTACTCGCCCAAATATTAAAATATCTCTTTTAATCGCTTTAAATTTGCCCCATTCAATACCCACAAATACAACAATGCAACATAAATTGCTTATTTTCAATTCTATTTACTAATTTGTAATAAAAGTTAATAAAAAAGTGAGGTGGGGCACTATTTTAGAGTGGGGCAATTATTTTTACATCAACTTTAATTAATTTTCCGTTACATTGAATATTCAAAAGGAAAATAAAAAATAGAATAATGATGCTCAAAAATTTATTCATCTAAAATTTTAATTTTAAAAATTAAATTTAATATTGCTTAAACACCAGGCGAAAAATAAAATGAATAAAAAAATAATAAAATAACTGATTAAATTGTCTTGTGTAACACAACTTATTTATTTTTAAATTTAGCCTTCAATTTATAAGCATATAAAGCCAATAAACATTAGAATATTGCGAAATTAATCCCGCCTGATTTTTATTTATTTATTTCTCAAGTCGTCGGTATCAAAAAAAGAATATATGCACTTTTTGTCGATTGACATGCTTAATATGTATGATTTGTTAATAAGATTTTGTGTCTTGTTCGTCGTCAGGTTTTTATATTTATTTAAAATCTAAAAACGAGACCATAAATATAAAATAATTGCGAGACTGATTTAATATAAAATTGAGGTCATATAGTTTTTAAATAATTGAATTGCTTAATGGAAATTTTTTATGCCGGGTAGATAAATAAAATGTTTATTACTTAAAAAACTATATAACTAACAATAGTGATGTAGCCTTAACCTCAATCTACATACTCATTCTAATGAAACGTTTGAAAACAATAGTCTATTTATGAAAATAATATGAACATTAGATATGAACAATAAACTATAAAATTTGATTATAGTCCGTAACTTGGCTGTGTATCATGTATCTATCTGCATAAAAAATTTCAATTATTCAATTATTTAAAAAATATATGACAAAATTTTATATTCATTCTCGTTATTTTTATTAAAATTTAGGGTCTCGTTTTTAGATTTTAAATAAATAAAAGGGCATAGTGAAGGCTAACGGCAAACAAAACACAATATCTTAATGACAAATCATAAATATTAAACATTAAATCGACAAAAAGTGCAAATATACTTTTTTTAATGCCGACAACATGAGAAATGAATAAATAAGAATCAGGAGTTATAAATTTCGCAATATTTTAATTCTTATTGACTGATTATTATTATAAAATGGAGGCTAAATTTAATAATGAATATGTAAATTTATTTTTCGAGTCGCTAAATTTTAAAATTGCTATAATGTTGTATTAATGAAACATATTAAAATAATTAGACAATTTTTAAAAAATCTGTTTGTTTGAGCAAGTTATTTGTGTTTTAAAAAAGCACTTGTTTCTACTAATTTTATGTATATTTTTATTATTTTATTGTAAGATATCTTTACCGATTTGAAAATATCATCCAATAATATTAAGTAGGGTAGGACAAACTCGTTTAATTTTGAAAAAACGGTATACCGTTTATGCAGTTTATCTGAGAACTGGAAAACTGAAAACTTCCTAAGAGTTTAAATACCACTTAATGGATTTTCTTCCTTACAAAATTCTTACTATTTTTTTACTTATTAAATCTGCATAAATAAAATTTAAAAAACACAAATAACTTGCTCAAACAAACAGATTTTTTAAAAATTGTCTGATTATTTTAATATTTTCATTATTACAACATCAAAGAAATTTCAAAATTATAAAAATTATTTTTACACATACATGCACTCTTAATCGATGCTTGAACTCTCGCTAATTTGTCAATAAAATCTGTCGACTCTTTTGATATTCGCCTCCTCTATGCCCTTTACATTTATTTAAAATTTCGAAATTTACATCAATTTCTCAATGTTTTAACGAGTTTCACTTACATATAAAAGAATGTTAACTGTTAATATATAGGTAGTTAATTGTTCATTGAGTTATATTTCTAAAACGTTTAAAAAATATATAATTTGTGTCAAATATTTTTTGTTTGTTTGTTTCAGGAGATTTATTATTAAAATTTAAGATGAAAAAAATTATTATTATTATTCTCTTATATTTTGTTATTCTGTTGAAAATCCAGATCAAAGGTAGAATGGTTGAGGTTGCATTAAATATAAAAGATGATTGGGAAGAAAAAAGAGAATTTATTTATTTAAAAAATATTCAAATAGCGGAACGTTTTGTACTGATAATGAATGTAAAACCAAAAAGTAAAATAGTTGATTATATTTATAAGCATACTGGATCGTTTAGTAAAATTGAAGTAAATCCTGATAATAAAGTTTTTATTGTAAAACTAAATAATTGTTCGAAATATATTACACAATTAAATACGAGAATTTTGATTGAAATTGCCAATAATGAAATTGTTAATAAATTTCTGAAAAATATTCTAAAACAGGTATTTTATATTTGATTATTCGATAATACACAAATTTAATATTTCTAAGATTCGCTTTAATAATAATTTTATCATGGATAATTATTATTATGAAACTTCGATATTACAAGAAAGTTATGTGGAATTAAAAATAAATAAAAAGGAATTATTGAAAGAAAATATAGAAAAATATAAAAACAAACTTTTATCAAGTTATTGGACGAAAATTAATTTAATTGATATAAAATTGAATTGTTAGAATAACAAAAATTAGAATATCCAAAGGAATTAAAAGGCAGCATTATTTACATTGGAAATAAAATAAGTAAATAAAAATTTTATGTTATTTGACAAAATAGGGATATCCCTTTTGAAATATCAAGCTGAAAACTTTCTTTAAATAAAGTTTTATTCTAATTTTATAGGAGTAACAATTGAAAATAAGGAGAGAGATTGTTTCAATTGTGGTGTTAAACAAACTAAATCTTGGTGGCATAAATATTTGAAAAACCACTATTTGTGTCATACTTGCGGTGATTATAATCAAAAATTTCGAAAGCATAGACATAAAAGCTTGTTTATTAAGACTAAAAAGGTTTGCTATAATTAGATATATTTTTTCTATGTAAGATTCGATTCCCTTGATTTCATAACGAATAAATATTAAAACTCATTCTCAATTTTAAGCTTAACCAGTCGATTTCCTTGATTCTTCGTGATAATCATTAATATATCATTTACATTTATACAAATATTCATGATTTGAATATCCAGAAGCAATCACTCTAATCCTTCGTACATTTACGCTTTAACTCGGCATTATTTTGGGTATACTTATTAATATATTTATTGAAAACTTTTTTTTATTCTGATGTTTAGCTTACTAAAAAATTTAGTCTTTATAAATATGTATGTAGTATTTTATCAACACATTTTTTACTATTATTATTGCTTTTTCCGGTAATTTTGAAGTTCGTACCCCCTTCCCTCTCTACTTTTTAAGGTATTAAAAATGGTCAGTTGAATATTAATTATTTTAATTTTATTTAATATTATTTGTTAACAATTAAAGAATTTTGTTTTTCACTGAAATTACATAGTTTTAGAATTTGTTCAATAAATTTAAAAAATTAAATTAAGAAAATCATGTTCATTTAAATACTACTTGTTCGGTTCCTGTTCTGTTTGATTTTTATTGGCTTTCTTAGTTATCCTTTGCTGCTTCATGTAACAAGCCTTACATATATATTGTTCAGGTTTTGAATAATGGTACCACTTTGATGTTTTTGTTGCTCCGCAAGTAAAACATTTTCGATCTTTTGTGATTCGCTAAAATATATATACAAATTACTTTAAACTAGTTCTCAGATAAAAATTTTTAAAGCTATTTTTTTAATTCATCAGAACTGATTTTGTCAATGATTGCTCTAACTAAATTCTTTTTGTCTAAGTTTCCATTTCACTTAAGTGGCAAAAGTAATGTTCTTGTAAATATTTAAGAAAATACTGAAATCCTTATACACGAATACAATCTTTAATAAGTTCGTATAAATATGATCAAACATTAAAATTACTCATTTTTTATAAAATCATTGTTAATTATGTTAAGAATAAATCTATACCATTTTAGCTTGAATCAACCTTACTTCAGGTCTCATTTTGTTATTATGTATTTTATAATCGTGACATGGCTGACACAAATAATTTTCTTTTAGGTATCTATACCAATGTTTTGTTTGTGTGACTCTACAATTTAAACAGTTTTGTTTATTTCCTTCAATTATTGCTTCTAAAATAATAAAAAATAGTATGTATATTTTTAAGCATATAAACAAATAAAAAATTTTAAAATCCATTGACTTATTTTATTTCCTATTTCTATAATTCTACTTTTTAAAACTTCCTTCTTATATTCAACTTTTTGTTTTTCTAGCAATTCAGTTTTATATCCAATTAAATTAATTTCCGTCCAATTACTTGATAAAAGTTTGTTTTTGAAAAATTCTATATTTTCTTTTAGCAATTCTTTTTTATTTATTTTTGATTTTTCAATACTCTCATCTAATATAGAAGTTTCATAATATTTATTCTTCTTCTCACTAAATTCAGTAAATCTGAGCACCTTTAATGAATAAATTATATTAAGTTCTTCTTAATAATTGAATACTTGTTGTTATATTTGTTCAAGCAATACTTTTATTTTCTAATTAATTCTAGTTGAAAATGAATCATTGACACAAAGACAGAATTTCAACTTAATTTTAAAAAGGTGGTACTAAAATTTAGGAAAAGTACCTAACTTATATTTTTTATGCTTAATTGAATTTAGTTTGTAGTAATCAACCGAAAATACCTTTTTTTCAATTCCAGGGTGAATATTTTGGATAATATTATTCTTGGCAATATTAATCAAAAGTTTCAGTTTTAATTGTTCAGCATATTCTGATCCATAATCTATTTCAACAACGAACATATTCTTTTCTTCGCTTACATCAATTCGACGCAAAAATCCCTCAATATTATAATTATAACTAGTGTCATACTGATTATTATGTTTTTCAATTTTTTCCAATACAAAACGCTCTTCTAATTCAACATTTTTTAAATAAATAAATTCTCTTTTTTCTTCCCAATCATCTTTGATTTTTACCTCAATACTAACTTTCCTCCCATCACATTTATTATTCAATAATGAAAGTAAATAAAAGCAAGAAGCAATAATAAATTTAGTCATCTAACGTTTAATGAGTTATTCAAATTCCTTGAAAAAAATGTCAACTAAAGTGAAGATGGCCTAAAGAAGCCAAAAATTTAGTGAATAACAGTAAGAATTTTAGAATTTTCCCAGGATTTTAAACATGTTGTAGAACGCGCACCTCATTTGAACAGAATATTTCCCATTCAGGCTAAATGATTTCAAAAGAAGAATTTGAAATAAAAAAAGAAATGCTGCCTGAAATTAGGAAGAAGGTCATCTTTCGCAAGCGAAAAGAGTGGATAAGTTGAATGCACAATTAAAAATGAGTCTAGTAAAATAATATAGGAAATAGAGGTCAAGCCAGCGCTAGCAGAAGTTAAAGGAGTATGTGAGAAAAATTGAGATTTAGAAAATTTGAGACCCAAATTTCGGCACATACAATTACAATGTTGATTAGTAATAATGGTATGACATAATAATGGCTATGACCAATATTATGCAATGAAAAATGCCAATGGATGCCAAATGAAAATAATTAATATTGGGGTGAGGATAAATATCAAAATCATGTTGCGATGATTTTGTTGTTTCAACAATCAACAGTTGCCCACAGTTACACAGGTTTTCAAGATAATTATATAAAATTTTTGTAAAATAATTTTTAAAAAATTGGGATGATTTTTTCATGAAAATTTCAATTTAATTAAACTTGGAGGACTACTACTGTTGCTAAAGTAAAATATTCATGTAAATTTATAAATATGGAATACATATGTATGAATTTATGTTAAATATTCTAAACATTAGAAATAATATACAAGAAAAAAGCAAACAGAACTTTTACAGCGTCATACTTATTATATGAGACTTAATCTTATATATTTCGGTATCACGACTTTTGCGCTGATAACATTTACGCCGCGACTTTTGCGCCGCGACTTATGCGCCGTGCGACTTTTGCGCCGCGACTTTTGCGCCGGGCGACTTATGCGCCGCGACATTTGCGCCGGCATAATTTAAAGAAATAATATCTACAGTCGGACCTAATTATAGTGTACTCCTTAAAAAATGATAACCAGGAGTTGAAGGAATTTCAGGAAGTACAATACTTCTGGAAGTACAATAGCCCCTTCTAATAAACCGACCCCCTAGAGGAAGGTCGAAAAATAAACCGACCCCCTAGAGGGGTCATCTTCAAAGAACTTGACTTTTTCAAATCAGGATATTTGGTCATATAGGCATGAATTTCTGCCAGAAGAGGGTCCACTATAGTGTAGAATTGTCGGGTCCAGATATCCGGATCTGAAAAAGGCCGGATAGCCGAATCCGGCCTTTCTATAGTAAGGTCCGGCTGTAGTTTTTCATAATTATTAATGATAGTGGCTGCGCAAAAGTCGTCCGGCGCAAAAGTTCGGCGAAAAAGTCGCCCGGCGCATAAGTCGCGGCGCAAAATTCCCACGGCGCAAAAGCCGCTCGGCGCAAAAGTCTCGGCGCAAAAGTCGCGGCGCAAATGTTCACGGCGCAAAAGTCACGGAACCTATATTTCATATTTTTTAAAGTTTAATTAAATGCTAAGTGTATACAATAAAAACAACGAGTACAGACAAATTTTACTGATTGACTTTATTAATCGTATATTTTGTAATTTTATTAAGCGGGAAAATAAATAAAATAGGACAACTTTTGAAATTTTTGTTGTCCAAAAAATTACAAAGTACATATGATTAAATTCAAAAGAATCTGATCTTTGAATGTAATTGTACTTTTATGTACAATTTTATGTACGAATTTATACTCTTGTCATTTGTCAAATTTACTTAATGTTTGTGTTATTCTAAAAATTTTAAAGCATATAGCTATTTAATTTATAAATTATTGCAGGAGGCGGTTTATTATGTAACACATCATTCCGGTGACGATAAAAAAGGTTAGCTAAAGACGAAACAGTTATCCCATTTCATCTTAATTATATTTAAGGCAATTGAACTATTTAAAATTTATTTCTATTCTTTTATACGTATTCTAAGTTCTTAGAATAGACAATTCTCCGTCATTGTTTTAAATATTCTCTTCATTATTTATTTTAAATTAAATCGAGGAATTATAAATATTATGTCGGGATTCCGATCCTCTCAAGGTTAAAGAGCCAAGAGGAATTGCCAAATACTATGCTCAATTTCAAAAATGTCAATACGGACGTGTTAAAAGTGCATATGCATCATATGTGAAGCTGATGTTTGTACCTAACATAGGTGAGGAAATGTCGCAACCAAAAGGGTGGAGATTTAGGTATACTCGTAACTTTTCACTCTCCATTTTACCAAACTCCTCCCTTCAATGCTCCGTTTATAAGTTAGTCCATTTACATTTTAAATTTATTACCATTCAAGTCGTTTTTCTAATTATTTGTCGTTGAGTTTTGCTTAATTAAGGAATGAATAAACATGTTTAAATTATAATTAATGTTATTTAGAAAATAATATAATATATTTTAATTAATATATGTATTCTGAACATTTTAAATTATAGTTAATATTATTCAGCTTACATGAAAGAGAAGTTTAGCAAAAGTTTAGCCACTGGTTAAGATTTGAACTTGCGTCTCCTCGTCTAATTATTACTAGGCGTTTACGCTCACCTCTTCTAGGGGCCTACCACTGAGCGACTGAAGCATCGTTATTCTTTAAGATCGCTTGACCCGCGTCTAAGCGTTCTAAATACTTTACGTGAATCATCCTTACAATAGTTATAATTAATCATTCTTACAATTATTCATCATTACGGATGCTAAATGTAATGTCCTTTTTGGACGAGCTGAATATTGTGTTATGTACGTGACTTGTATGTCTACGTACTAACAAGAATAAACACAAGATAAGACAGTAACTAACAAACTGTGCTTTATCTACAATACTAATACAATAGGTTGCGAACAATAGGAATATGGCTAACGCCGAATATGTGGAGACAGAATAGAATAAGAATAGAATAACACTGCGACAATAAGACTAAGACTCGACTGAATAATAGGAAAGGCTTTTATACTAAGCCGATACCCAACACCTCCCTCCTTTAATAAGAATAATTTCCTCTTGAATAAAATAATACTTTCGAATAATGTCTCCAAACAAACAAAAAATACATACAAAGGGGCAAAAATACAATAATTACAAAAGGGGGCAATACAAAAAAATACAAACAAACAAAATATTATCACAACAAAAAAATATTATCTCAAACCCTAAGCATCAATGCTAATACGGCTCATCTCTTCGTCTTCATTCTTCTCATCAACAGACTTCGGCTCATCTCATCTTCGAAAAAATTTGAATTGGTTCCTCTCGATACCTTTTTTGAGTAGTATTCTCTACTACTAATCTTTTTGGTGGTCGAATTGTTCTTTTAGGTCTTTCGAATCGAATTTCATTATCTTTACTTTAAATTGTACTCTTTTCATTTTGAATTGGAATATTTTGAATATTTTTATTCCGAATATGTTCTGGATTTTTCCACCAAAAATTTACTACTTGTTGGTTCTCAAAATTTTTTATTTTTCTTAATTGGTTTGCGTGTCGGTGAATAATAGCTCTTAATTTATCTGAGCGAATCTTGAATACGACACCATTTTTACTAATTATCTTTCCAGGCAGCCATTCAATTTTTTTATTTCTGTTGTAGTTTCCGAATAGAATATTATCTCCTACTTCGAATGCGTTTAATTTGGTTCCGTGATGTTTATCGAACCAATTTTTCATTTTATTTCGAATATCTTCTCTTTGAATGTTAATTGAATTTCCTGGTTTTTCTGGTTTGATTAATGATAATTGAATTCGTAATTTCCTATTTAAGAATACTTCTGCTGGCGATTTTCCGCCTAATGAATAATGTGGGGTGGCTCTATAATTCAATAATACTTCTTGTAGCCAATTACTCTTCCCCCAATTTTTGTTCATCATTCTCTTAAAATAATCTACGAATCTCTCAGCTTGGCCATTAGACTGAGGATGATATGGTGGGCTGAATATTTGGTGAATTCCTTTACTAATACAATAATTTTTGAATTCGAATGACTGGAATGGACTTCCGTTATCGGATACAATTACTTTAGGAATTCCGTAATGCGAGAATAACCATTCCAGGTTTTTTATTGAATCTTTTGCTGCCGTAGTCGTATTTCCGAATATTTCAGGCCATTTAGAATACGCATCGACTATAACCATATATAATTTTCCATCCTTACATGGACCAACAAAATCAATATGAATTCTTTCCCAAGCTTTATTTGGTGCTGGCCATGGACTTAATTCTGTTTTAATTGGCCTTTTTGATGCGTTTTGGCATGAATCACTATTTGCAGCGATTTGCTCAATATCGATACTAATACCAGGCCAATAAATATATTCTCTGGCCAAATTTTTCATCCTAACAACTCCTGAATGTGTTGAATGTAATGAATCAAGAATCTTTTTCTGCAGTTTAGCAGGAATAACGACTTTATCTGCGAATAGAATACAACCATTAATTATCTGAAGGTTTTGTCTTCTTGTTGACCAAAATTTTAATTCCGAATCTTCAATTTTCTTTGGCCAATTATTATTTCGAATATAATCTATGACTGTTTTTAATTTAATATCATTGTCCGTCTCGATTTTTACTTAGTTACTATCGATTGGTAACTCTTCGAATAGAATATTTAATACGTAATTAACTGAATTCTCAACTTCATTTAATTCATCGGGTGGACCACTGTCGAATGTGCTAGAATCTGAGATTAAAGCAATAATTTTATCTTCATTTTCTGAATTTTTGCTAATTAATCTTGACAGGCTATCTGCCATGCCCATTTTTTCTGTAGAGACGAATTCTATCTGAAAATCATAATTTGTCATAATCAATGCCCATCTTTGTAAACTTGAGGCCGTTTGAATTTTAATGTCTTTTTTATTTCCGAATATTGCAAGTAATGGTTTATGGCCAGTTCTTAAATTGAACTTCCGACCGAATAACATTTTATGGAATTTCTGAACGGCGAATACTAATTCTAAGGCTTCCTTTTCAATTTGTCCATAATTTTTTTCCGAATCACTTAATGATTTACTGGCATATTCGATTGCCTTTCGCTTACGTCCGAATATTTGTGGGAGATTACTGCTCCGACTCCATAACTGGAAGCATCCGCTGTAACAATAATTTCGAATTGCGGATCAAAATGCGTTAATAATAGATCTGAACTCAGAATCGACTTAATTTGTTCGAATGCTTTTTCTTGTTCCTCTTCCCATTTCCAAATTGAATTCTTTCTAAGTAATGTGTCCAATGGACCTCTGAATTGATGCATTTGATCCACGAATTTTGAATAATAATTTATTGTGCCGATAACTGACTTTAATTCTTTAAAATTTTGAGGTCTTGGTAATTTCTGAATA